GCCAACTCCTTCGTTCCCTACCTCATCACCAAGGTGAGCACGGGTCCCGCTCTGTTTCCGGAGCCTAACCATCCTCAGACGCTCACTCCTCCTCTTCCTCCTCCTCCTCTTCTTCCTCAGGTGGGAGAATCTAAAGATGTGGTTCGGAAAGATGTCCGGGCCATCCTGACCATGCTGTGTAAGGTCTACCCGGCATCCAAAGTCTTCCCCTTCCTCATGGACGGGACCAAGTCCAAGAACTCCAAACAGAGAGCAGGTGGGCCTCTACAGACAGACAATTTATTTATTTATTTCTGTAGAGGAGAAGCCCCTTGAGATGAACCATCTCATTTCCAAAGGGGGTCCTCAACAAAACAATAGAAATGGTCAGATACAGTAGAGCAAACTAAATAATATGTAAATTGATCAAATAAGTGATATGCTTGAAATAAAACACAACCATACACACACACTCAATCACTCGTTCACACTTAACTGCTAACTAAAAATAAAAAAACTTCCAAAACAAATGCAGTTTAAGCACATGCACAGATGAATCCATTTGAAATAAAAATATTTACAGATAAATCCATTTAAAATCAACATATTTACAGATAAATCCATTTAGAATAAAAAAATATTTACAGATAAATCCATTTAAAATATGCACAGATAAATTAAATGAAAATAAATGACTACAAGGCTGATTTTACAGCCTTATGAAGAGCATTTTTGAATACAGGTGCTGAGTTTAGGGAACAAATAGATGGCAGGTTGTTCTAGGCTGTTGGTTTATCTGGACGATGAGCTTATCGGGATGTTTGTGGCCTTTAAATAAGCAGTGTAGATCCAGTTTTTTTTTTTTCTTTAAAGTCTGATCCATGTTTTTCAGATTACAGATGAAAATAATCCATTACTGATGCAGAGTTAATAGACTATTTTCTATTCAGGTTGTTTGTGTGTTTTGCCTTTTTAATCTATTTTACAATATTATTTTCCCTTTCTACTGTTCACTGATGCCATTTCCGTTTGTTATTTATCATTTTATCCTATTTTGTGTTTATCCCTGAAAAAACAGGTCAGTGTCTCTTTAACAAACAGTGTGTATTATTTAAACTCCCTTAATTCAGATGGCTAGTTGTTATCAGAGTAAATCCCTGTTCAACATGAGTCTGATACCTAAGTAAGTAGATAAATAACTTTAAACTTTAACACATGCTCTGATAGGCCGGGATCGAATGGGAAGTGAACACAGCTGGATCTACTAGGCTTCTCCCAGTCCGATATTTGAATCAGATCGGCCGCTGATATTTGCAAAAATCTGCATATCGGCCAGCAAGAGAAAATGCAGATCCAGACTCCAGATCCAGTTTTTGTTTAAAGTCCGATCCCACACGAGGATTAGCATTAGCATTAGCATCTGTAACCACAGGTCTGTGTCCTAACCATTAAGTTGTTATCAGAGTAAATCCCTGTTCAACATGAGTCTGATACCTAAGTAAGTAGATAAATAACTTTAGACTTTAGCACATGCTCTGATAGGCCGGGATGGGCTGGTATGGGTATAGGAAGTGCAGAAAGTTGGTTCCTAATCGGGTCTATTGATGGTCCCCAGAGTGCCTGGAGGAGCTGGGCTGTCTGATCGAGGGCTACGGGATGAACGTGTGCCAGCCCACTCCGGCCAAGTCCCTGAAGGAGATCGCCGTGCACATCGGGGACCGAGACACCTCGGTCCGCAACGCCGCCCTCAACACGGTGGTGGCCGTCTACAACGTGTGCGGGGACCAGGTCTACAAGCTGATCGGAAACGTAGGCGGGGGGGGGGCGTCGGGGTCTAGAGATAAACTGTTTATTTATTTATTTCTGTAGAGGAGAAGAGGAACCATCTCATTTTCAAAGGGGGTCCTCAATAAGAATGGTCAGATAGAGTAGAGCAAACAAAATAATAAATAAGATAATAAAATAGGTGATAGATACTTCAAATAAAACACAACCATACACACACTCACTCACTCACTCACTCGTTCACACTTAACTGTTAACTAAGAATAAAAAACATCCAAAACAAATGCAGATAAAGCACATGCACAGATAGATCAATTTAAAATCAAAATATTTACAGATAAATCCATTTGAAATCAAAATATTTACAGATAAATCCATTTGAAATCAAAATATTTACAGATAAGTCCATTTGAAATCAAAATAGTTACAGATAAATCTGTTGGAAATCAAAATATTTACAGATGAATCCATTTAAAATCAAAACGTGCACAGATAAATCCATTTAAAATAAAAGTATTTACAGATAAATACATTTAAAATAAAAAATATTTACAGATAAATATATTTGAAATAAAAAATATTTACAGATAAATTCCATTTAACCCTTTAAAGCCTGATCCAAGAATAAAACAAAACAGAAAATTACTTTTTTCTTTGTTCTAAGTCTATATTTGGCCTTTTAACAAAATATGTAAAAAGAAAAAACAGAAATACATTTTTAATAATAATTTATTACTACGCGATAAGTCAAGATTATTTTTTGTGTAGTTTTCTGCCCCCTGTTATCAGGTGTATCTGATTGTGTAAATTAGGATTTTGAGCAAAGTTAAATTAAGCAAAAGGTGTCTACCTCTACGTGCCACTCTACTCTTCTAAACAGATTCTCAAACAAAAACTCCTGCTAGCCATTAAGACCAAGAATTTTGGTTTTGTGTAGAGGTTCAACAACAACAAAAAAACAAAATTAAAACAAAAATGGGAAAAAAGAACATGTTTACTGTTGTGTAATATTTACCTAGCTCCATTTTTGTAGGTTTAATTTTTAAAAGAGGTGTCAGATATCAGTCAAATACGATACATTTGGCATTACAGGGTTAAAATCAAAACACGCACACATAAATTAAACAATAAAAACCATCCAAACGCTCCTCTCTCTGCCTGGTTTCCAGCTTTCGGAGAAGGACATGAGCATGTTGGAGGAAAGGATCAAACGCTCGGCCAAAAAGCTGCCGGCGGCCCCGGCCAAACCGGCCGCGGCCGAACGGCCCCAGAGGGAGCACCCCCCCAACCCCAACGCCACCTTCCTCCGCAAGCCCGCGCAGGAGGACCCCAACAAGCTCAAGTAGGTCCAGAGCATGATTAATCCCCTCTACCATTACAGATGTCCTCTCAGGTCTGTGTCCATTTCAGTGTTTTTCAACCTTTTTTGAGCCGAGGTACAGTTTTTCATTGAAAAAATCTCGAGGCACACCACCAACCAAAAATGTCAAACAAATCTGTAGCGGCCTATAGTAACACTATAGTTATTCTTATCTTATCTTAAGTGTCTTGAATAGGAATCAAATAAACACAAAAATGTATTTTTATCATATTCTATATTTTTTTCTTTCAAATTGCTCTTAACAT